GGGGGGTCGACACGTGTCACTTCCTGTCTGGAGGGGGGTCATCTGAATCTGAGGGTAATCAATCACAGTATCCGCAGACCATCCCCGGGATTAAACATTAACAGGGTGACGGCCAAAACCTCCAACTGCCGAATTCCGGGACCAACCGCCGTCCAGCCAATAAAACAGAACACATTTCCTGAGCGCTCCCCCATCCGCCCCCCCACCTGCCGAAACCGCGACAAACTTTATTACCAGCAAACAAGAAATGCAAAGAGTTCAAAACGACATAAAAGTAAATAAAACCCGATCGCTGAAATCTCAGCACGTCAATGTCACCCCAAAAACGACGGGAGGGCCCAGCGGCACCAACGCATCGCGCGCGGCACCAACGCACGTTGTGACACCACGGTGCACGGCAACGCCGCGCGTAAAGCGGCTCGCTGCAATTTCACGCGGCTGAGTTGCTGTTGTTGCCGGTCGCTTCCACTTTGTTATAATCCCGGTAACAGGCGACCGCGGCGGAATATTTAGTAGCACACAGAACACCTCAATCCAATGATTTGGAGGGGGAGGGGCCAATACTTTTGGCCATATAATGTATGTTAGGAGGGGGGTCACACGCATCGTGTAGATGAACATCCGCTCACACGTATGTTACATACAATGTGATGTGTTTTTGGAGCTCGCTGACTTTTGTGGCGTGTTGTTGCGCAGACCACGGACACTGCGCCCCGCGTCACGTATATAATCGCCACACTCAGCACAAACAGTCACTTTCAGATGTTTATCTGGACGCCCCCGCACACAGCGCTGCCGTTCAACCAGCGAAATCCTCACACCTCGCGGCAGGATTTCACCGCTCCCGTGTCAGGTGGGCGATAAAGGTCAAATCTGGCGCAACAGAAGAAAACGCCTCCCCGAGACACAGCGAAACCCCAATATTATTATTATTAGCTTATTAAAGTGTCAGTAACTTTCAGGCAGGAGGAAGCGTTTCCTCAGTCTCCCCTCCCCCCAGTGATCAGTCTGCTGCAGGCAGGAGGAAGCGTTTCCTCAGTCTCCCTTCCCCCCAGTGATCAGTCTGCTGCAGGCAGGAGGCAGCGGTTCCTCAGTCTCACCC